CGGACGCTTAACCGACTGCGCCACCCAGGCGCCCCAAGGTGCTCATTTTTTAAAAGGATACCTGCATCTAACAACAGATGGTCAATGAAGGTTTGCTGCATTACAATTAAATGTTTATTAGCATAAACGTATCGGATCACTGGAGCTTGGTTTTCCTATGAAAGCATCCGTGATGTGCTAGATAGCCAATGATAATTACTCTTAAGTGCTTTTCATTTTTGTTGATGAGAAAAAGGTAGGCAATCCATTGGTGACATAATAAAACTGGTGTTCTGTTCCCCAGTAAAGGAGCATCACAATGTAAACTTGGTTTTTCTAAGCTTTCTCCAGTAACAACTTCTTGTACTACTGCTTCCTTGTGTATTTTGAAAGCGAAAGGTTTAACATGTTTAAATCACAGACACCTGATTTTACCTGGGCCACAGTAAGGAATGTGTCACAAAAGCACAATGTCCAGTTGAATCCAGTGAGTTGTCACTGGTTTTAAAAAAATCATTTAGGCATATCCAGTGTGTGATAACCTTAGTTTTTCACTTCAAATAGAGAATTTTCCCATCTAGAAAATTCAGTTTCTAAGTCGATTTCACTGAAAAGCCTTAGTAATATACATCACAGTATCTGAATAATCATGCAACTGTTTCTAGGAAGGTGCATTATTTTAAGTATTTTTTTTAAATGTTTATACACTTTTTGAGAGACCGAGTGCAAGCAGGGCAGGGGCAGAGAGAAATGGAGACAAAGAATCCAAAGCAGGCTCCAGGCTCCGAGCTGTCCGCACAGGAGCCCGACACGGGGCTCGAACTCACGGACCGCGAGATCCTGACCTGAGCCGCAGTCACTCAACCGACTGAGACACCCAGGTGACCCGACCTTTGCATTATTTTATACTCCCATTTCATCGGGCAAGATTCTGGTTTCCAAAAGAAAAAGCCAAAAGGCAGGGTGAGGTATCAGTGGGTGGTTACCTTGGACTTGAAGAGTCCTCGGCAGTAGTGCCAAACCTGAGTGGTCTTGCCGCTATAGGGAGAAACGCACACAGATGTTGCCCTTGTGTCAGCGACGTTGCCGGTGACGGTCAGGTACTCGTCCTGGGCCCGGTTCCTTATTCTGATGTACACTGCAGGCTAGCACAGGGGAGAGACCGCCAATTAGGAAAAAACATTATGAACCTGGCAATCAAGCCTTCCACAGGACAGCAGCTTAGAAGGCAGGCGGTGACAGAATTCGGCTTGCTATGCACTTGCGCCCTTCCTCCCTTGAGTCAGTATGTTTAAGTTACTATTTTTCTACTGACAGACCTCAGGTCACTGAACACTTTTCTCAACACGGCCCTTTTGGAAAAGTGAAAGGTAATAGTTTCATTCATTAAAATGCCACATGGCAAGGGGCAGTGAAGCATGCCGGACTTGCTCAGTTTCATTCAGGAACCAGGGTGTGCCATCTGTGCTGGGAGAGCAAGGGGAAGAGGAGGAGGGCGAGATACTGCACACCTGCAAGGCTCTAACAACAACTTAGCGAACACTGCAATAATGAGACCCGCTGTTTGAGCTACTGTTAAGTGCCAAACGCCTGCTGTGAAAGTCTTGAAAAACCCAGGTAGCTGAGGGCCTGAGCAGCTGTGGTAGTGTGTTTAATTTATACGTTGTGGACCTTTACACTTCAAGAGAAGAGACTATGTATGTTTAATCACTATGTGGGTATTCAAGAACTTCATCCCCTGGGCCTGGAATACATACACAAAGTTTTCAAATACAATATTAAATCTAGGACTTGCCTCTAAGGATAATAGTTAATATTTATTGAGAGCTTAGTATATGTCAAACAGCGTGCTAAAATAAATGCTTTCTGGGCTACTGTATTATCTGTCCAAGTCAATAACCAGAAGAACCCTTTAAGAAAGTACAATTATGAGCCAAATTTACAAAGTTAACACAGATGTGCAGAAGCCAGGTTGGCCTTCACCAAAACTGTCCTCCTTAACCATGATGCTCTAAG